CCAGGCGTGTGCCCTGACTGGGAATCAAACTTGCAACCCTTTGGTTTGCGGCCCGTGCTCAATCCACTGAGCTATACCAGCCAGAGCAGCTGTAGGTTTTCCCATAGAGTTTTTCTCACGGTTTTCCAGGTTGAGGAAGTTTTCATTTGTAGAGCTACTAACTTAAAGTTTGTTAAATATTTTTACTTGTTAATGACTTGCTTTACAATGAAATGCAGTTAACAATGTAAACTTTTTTGTCTTTGAGGGGCCACTAAATCAGTGGATTTTTAGTATGTGCTGCTTCAGAGGCTTGAATTTATCTGTGAGCACTCGGACCACATTGTCGTGATAGTGCTGCATTTAAAATGCATGGCTACTGCCTCTGGCAGCACTTGTCATTTTTAAAATAGGTAAATAACCATTATCTCTTGCTAGATAAGATTTTTTCAAAGCATTAGCCAAAAACTCTTATTAAATTGGGTTTTAGGTAGTGACATGGATGAATGTTGCCCTTAATTTGAATATATCAGAAGAGTAATCATTTCCCCTACAATTTGGTGGTATGTTTTATAGCTGTCTTATAAAGTTTGTGTGGCATACAAAGGATTGCAAGGAACTTTGTGTATTCTGTATTTCACAGAACTGATTATTGATGTTTTCCTGTCATTATATAGGCTCTTTAAACTATATTTATGTTGTTTATATTAAAACTATATTGAACATTTACTTGTCCAACTCCTACTCCATGCCCAGCCCTGTAGTGTAGACGCTCGGGGTAGCATGAGGAACAGACAGATGTCGCTCCCGTCACGGGGCTGGCAGTCCCGGCAGGAATGCTCAGTTGAGTGAAGTAGATCATTGTAGCTGTGGTGAGTGTGGGATCTGGCATAATCTGGGAACTCAGAGACAGTTTCCCTGCGGGTGGCATTTGAACGGAAACCTGGAGATTGCATCTGAACTTCCCAAAAGAAGTGTGATGGCACAGTGAGCAGTAGGTACAGGTAACCTGGGCGGCAGGGCACAGCGCATATACGCATGTGTGGGATTTGGGGCGGGGGCCCGCGGGGCTGGAGAGCCGGCCAGCTAACTTGAAACAATACAGAAGAGAAATAAGGTTGGATGGATACATGGAGACTGGATTATAGGACCTGTGAGGACTTTATCTCTAAGGGCAGTGTCAAACCGTGAAGTATTTTAAACAGGGGAGTGATATAGTTTGGTTTGTATTTTGAAAAGAATATTTCTTCTGTTCTGTGCATAATGGAATGGAAAGAAGCTGTGGACAGTTCAGGAAGCCACTGCAGTAGCCCGCACACAAGACGATGCCGGCTTGCTTGGGGTGGCGGCAGTGGGGAGGGAGGCAAGTCGACCAGTGGGAGGAGGAGCAGGAGAAACAGATAAATTTGCATACACCTTTTGGTGCATTCAAGAAGTATATTTAAAAACCTTTTATTTTATTCTGTATGTTTACTTTTTAATATAATAAATTAGTTGTGTAGTTCTCCTTGATAGTCATTGCCTACTTCATCGTATTTACCATTGAAGGCGAATGTCCCTCTTCCTTTACTGTGTAGATCCTGGTGAGTAGTTGCTTGAATTGCTTAGTTGTTTGTAATGAAATACTGATATATGTAAAAGAGTATATAAGGCATCTTTAAGGTATAAATGAGAAAACCAAACGCCTGTGATGTACTGTCTCCTAAAGTTATATAATTTTAGCTGTCAGAAGTAATTGCGAAGAAATCCCAAATGATGATGATTCCTCTTAGAGATTTCCTGACTAGCATCCGTCAGCTGAAAGGAGAGGAAGGGTAATGACCATATTAAAAATGGCAATAATCCAACACCTAATGACCTTGAAAATGAAGAGAATGATGCCTAATGTATAAACAAAAAATGCTTTATGTAATGAGCTATGTAGATATATATTAATACTCTTGTTATTAGAGCTTCACATTATAAATTAGTTCCTATTATAATCAGATCAGTGAAAAGGGTGGGAACGAAGAAAAGTGAGGGGCTAGTAAAGAGGGTCAGTCTCTAAAAAGAAGAAAATTATCTTGTTAGAACTACCAAACTCTTTGGTAGAAGTTGGTGGAAGGAAAGAAGCTTAGTGGGTCAAATGCACTGCTTCTTGGACTTTCCTTCTCACATTATCATACTCGTCTGTCTTCGAAAGCTTGTACAGTTACGGGTTATTTATAGTAATCTTAGATTCCAGTCCTTGCCAGTGATTGTTGGGAAGTAAATGTAAAAAAAAGTGGTCTACTATTTGCATTTCCCTAATGAGATATTTTTTTGCCATTTCCCCGATTTTAGAAAAATTGTAATTCAAAACTTTTAAAAATGTGTAAAGTTTATACTTTAAAAATGATTTGTTTAGATTTGGGTGTTTGAGGTAGCTTTAATGATTGATGGTGTTTTATTTTTCAGTGGCTTTGTAGTAAATCTTAGTACCGTATTTCTTCGTGTATAATGCACACTGATGTTTTTGTGAGCATTATACATGTGTTTATTATATCCATTGTGTGTAATCTTTATACTCATGTATATAATGCACACCCTTATTTATCCCTCGAAAATTTGGGCAAAAAAGTGTGCATTATGCACAGCAAAATATAGTAACTCTTTGTATGGAATGTGGGATCTGTTTATATTTATGAATATTTATCTAAGGTAATTTTATTTTTATTATTTTTATTATTTGTTATTTCAATTGTTCAAGTACAGTTTTCTGCCTTTTACTCCCATCTAAGGTAATTTTAATTTTGAATATTTATTACTATTATAAAAAAGAATGTTAAACCTAATCTTGTATGATTTTAATACTTTGAATTATCTCTAAAATTCAAAATGCTTTTCTATAAAATAGGATCTTGTAGACTTTAAAAAAAGTTGACATGCAGTTGACATACAGTATCCGATTAGTTTCAGGTAAACACCATAGTGACATGGTATTAATATATATGCATCAGAAATGATCCCCATGGTGAGTCTGTTTACCATCTGTCATTATACAAAGTTACGACAATATTATCGACTCTATTTCCTGTGTCATCCGTTAACGTCCTCATGACTTACTGACTTTGTAACTGGAAGTTTATACCTCGTAGTCCCTGCTACCAGTTTCTCTGGCCCCTCAGCCCCTCCCTCCTGGTAACCAGCAGTTTGTTTCCTGTACCTGTAAGTCTGTTTCTGTTTCATTTGTTTTGTTTTTTAGATTTCACATGTAATTGAAATCATATGATATTTGCCTTTTTCTGTCTGACTTATTTAATTTAGCATAATACCCTCTAAATCTATCTATGTTATACAAATGGCAGGATTTCATTTTTTATGACTGAGTAACCTTCCATTGTATATATATACCACGTATTATTTATTCATTCATCTAACAATGGACACTTGGCTTGCTTCCATATCTTTGCTATTGTAAATAATGCTGCATTGAACATAAGGGTGCATATATCTCTTTCAACTAGTGTTTTCATTTTCTTTGAATGCCATTCCAATATTCGATGCAGCTTTATTTACATTAGCATTTTTGTACTAAATTGAAATATTTTGGGCCTCAACATGATTGTCATTCTAAGATTGTTACTCTAACTTGTTTTATAAATTTTTCCGGTAATGAGAAATGCAGTTCCATTCTCTTTCACCTAAATCCCTGAAGATTTTAGCAATGATGTGTGCTTCCTGAAACTCAATTCAATGTGAAAGAAAGCATAGGGCTTTCCATTTTTACAAGTTGTTGTTTGACATCCAAAAGAATTCTCCTTAGACATTTCCTGACCTGCAGCCATTGGTGGCAGGGAAAGGGGAGAAGGATGAGCTTCATCAGTAGGGTGTTCAGAATGACACTTGCGACCCGTTTCAGCCCTAGACTCATGACTCTGTAATAGCAGGCAAGCTATCCTTACCTTCTCCAGTCCCCACTGTCTTCCCTTGGAGAGTGGTAACGACGGTACGTCCTTCACAGAGAGCTGGGTTTTTATAGAGGAAGGATACGTGTAAGCACGTAGCATAATGGTCGGCACGTGCAACGTGCTCAGCAAATGTTGATACTCCTTTTTTATCATAATTTGTCAAATTCTGAAATAATTGGTAAGTTAGTTCTAAGTCACTTTTAAGGAAAGTGCTGACACTATAAGAATTATGCTTAAAATAGTGAATGTTTATTGATATAAGTCAAAATAAATGGAAATGTTTTTAACCTCTATCAAATAAATGAACCTAATTTATTTTCTTTGAACTGGGGATGGGCACCTCAGGTGCGGCATGACAGTTCTTTAAGCCTTGGAGTCCCTTCCATGTTTGAATAGACAGTGCACTGAACGAGCGTCCTGCTCGTTCCTGACGCCTGCTCTTCTGAGGCCATGTTTGACCTCGGATATTTCCCCAGGTGGGCTTTAGTGTGCACACGTCAGCCCCAGGGTTCTGTTTGTGCAGTTAAATGCACGAAATCCTGCAGTTCAGTGTGGGTGTGGCAGGGATTGGAGGGATTGTTAAGTGATTTTTAACTTGTATTAATCAAAATTTAACTTTTATAAAATAAAATAGTAGGTATATTGCTCGAGTTCATGAAGACTTAGCTGATTTTTAATAATTAATAAGTTTTTTCTGCCAATGAGCATTAGATTACTGCTGACTTGTTAGTGTCATAGTACCTTGTAGTAGTTTCTCTGCAGGCTTTAAAGGTGTATCCCAGTTTGGGTTTTTTTTTCACTGTTCTGTCCATAGGAAATTATCTTATAAGGCTGTAGGGAGAATACATCTAGAGGTCCATACATGCCATTAATATGTTATAAGGATAGGTCAGTCCCATTGTCTTCTTTTGTCAATCTTAATCGGAGCTTGCCGAGGAAGTCTGTAAGCCTGCATGTGCCTGGCAACTGTTACCTAGTGACAGTTGAGCTGCAGTAGCCATTGGCTGTGCTGTTGATTGGGGCAGGAGGACCGAGTCACCTTTCTGATGGTGAGTTCTTCTGCATCAGCTCAGGACAAGGAGGAGGAGCCGGGCTCTGGCTCAGGTGGAGGCAGTGATGCTGAGAGATTGTGAAGAATATCCGACAGCATCCTGGGAACTGCATCACAGTGAGTCGGACTTCTGAATCAAGCAGCCCAGCCTAGCAACTGATAAGAGTGAATGTAGGTGAGAAGCATTGCCTTATTCCTGTAACAGGAGAACTGTTTTTTGCAAGTGAAACTGGGAATGTGCAAGGAGGAATATCTTGTGGCTGTCTGAAAAGAAGACGGACTTCCCTGAATGACTTGGTGATGCACAAGAAAATAACTTTCGGAAGAGTGCCGCTGCGTTGTTCCTGAGGAAATGTCTGTGTTTTTAATGCATGGTCTTTCTTCAGAAGCTACGACAACAAAGGCTGACAAGCAACTCTCCAAAATGCCTGCACTTTAAAAGAGACTTTTGACAATGTTAACCTTATACCAGAACGACCTTGGAAGCCTTCTGGGTGGATTCTATCCTGCCAGCCTTTCAGTATTTCGGACTCTAGGATTTAAACTCATCTTGATGCATTAGAGGTATTTTAAAAGAAGACCATTTTACAACCCACCTAATGGCCCCTGTGTTAATTGAGCACTTGCTCAAAATAGAACGCAGAAATAGAAGAGACATTTTTTTAAACATATGGCTGCTACATAACTGCAAAAATAGCAAACAAGGTAATTTTCCACTTTCAGAAGATTTAGTTGAAGTAATGATTTAATGTGTCAATCGTCTAATGAGAATAGAAAAGGTAGAGTAGCATAGGTTATGATGCCTACTAGAAATACTCAAGGAATACGTAACGGCAGCATTTCCAGCCAAATAAGCCCAGAGAAGATAGGAGAGTTTCTATTATTGTCTAAATGTTCTCTAAATCCACAAAAAATATGTGAGATATAGGTGTGGTTACAAGGTAAATAATAGCTCTGAGCTACGTATGTTATGATCATGCCTCACTGTAAGGAAGGTGGCATATCAGATAATGAAAGTTAATGATGCTGAAATTAATAGCAAAAGTGATTTTTTTGAAAAGGAAGGAGTATAAATTACATTGTTGGTGGTAGCATCAGTAACTGTAATAGACTAAAACTGTTTCCTTCTGAATGCTTTCAGCAATGCACACAGAATGAAAAGTTCACAAGTTTGTCATACCTTGTCAGGTGCTAGCCCATTTCCTGTTACCTTCCGTACTGGAAATACTTTATTGTCTCACGAAAGCTGTACGGCAGCCTGGAGTCTGTTACCTTTGTTCAGCTCCTCTGTGCCCGAATACAGATGAGCCTTTTGGAATTAACCTCTTGGGGGAAAGGGATGACGATGGTGGTTCTTAGCTTTTTAAAGAAATGAGAGAGAAGTGGATCATAAAGTTGACCCACCAGCATCCAAGCCTCAACTGAGCCCAAAGACATTCTGCCACAATGAACTTTTTGTTAGCTTTCCGACCAAATCTGAGATCTTAACTATTTACATTCTGAAATGTGAATCCACTTCATATGTTAGTTGAAACAGGAAGCCTGAGACAATTTCAGACTTTCTCTTTTCTCATTCTTTCTAGTTGGTCCCTAAGAAACAGCCTTTCTGAGGAGGACGAACAGCCCACAGATGCTTTTCTTTCTTTGGCAATTGATTTTTTTCTTTTTGCAGATTTAATTTTTCATAGTGCAAGGTAATAAATCCATTTTCTCTAGAAGTGCCTTGTGTCTGCAAAAAGTTCTTTGAGACCACCAGAGGAAGCTAATGAGTGACCTTTTTCCACCTCCTTTGTAGCTTTTCCCCCTCCTCTCCCCCCTCAGAGCTGAGGCGTGTCACTGCTGCACAGAGGCTGATGAAGAGACCTGAGTCCTGGCTGGGGTGCTCAGCTGTGACGGAAGCGCTGCTGCCGTCTCCCGAAGCCGATCTGAGACACTCAGGTGCAGAGTTTAACAGATGCTGGACAGGGCACTGCCTTGCTGTAGCCGAAGCTGCAAGTCCCCCTGATTCCAAGCCATGAATGAGTCCAAGTGGCCTGAATGGAGGATCCTGAACCTGAGCAGTGGCCTTGTGAATGTGTCCGAGCATCACTCCTGCCCACTTGGATTTGGCCACTACAGTGCCGTGGACGTCTGCATCTTGGAGACGGTGGTCATTGTCTTGCTGACGTTTCTGATCATTGCCGGGAATTTAACGGTCATCTTTGTCTTTCACTGTGCTCCACTCCTACACCATTACACCACCAGCTACTTCATCCAGACGATGGCATATGCTGACCTTTTCGTTGGAGTTAGCTGCTTGGTTCCCACTCTCTCACTTCTCCACTACTCCACAGGCATCCACGAGTCCCTGACCTGCCAGGTTTTCGGATATATCATCTCGGTCCTGAAAAGTGTTTCTATGGCGTGTCTCGCCTGCATAAGCGTGGACCGCTATCTTGCCATCACCAAGCCTCTTTCCTACAATCAGTTGGTCACCCCTTGTCGACTCAGAATTTGCATTATTTTAATCTGGATCTACTCCTGCCTAATTTTCTTGCCTTCTTTTTTTGGCTGGGGGAAACCTGGTTACCACGGGGACATTTTCGAATGGTGTGCCACCTCTTGGCTCACCAGTGCCTATTTCACTGGCTTTATTGTTTGTTTACTTTACGCGCCTGCTGCCTTTGTTGTCTGCTTCACTTACTTCCACATTTTCAAAATTTGCCGGCAGCACACCAAAGAGATACATGACCGGAGGGCCCGGTTCCCTAGCCACGAGGTGGATGCCTCTGGCGAGACTGGACACAGCCCCGACCGTCGCTACGCCATGGTCCTGTTTCGGATAACCAGCGTATTTTATGTGCTGTGGCTCCCCTATATCATTTACTTCCTGCTGGAAAGCTCCCGGGTCTTGGACAACCCGACACTGTCCTTCCTGACAACCTGGCTGGCTATAAGTAATAGTTTTTGCAACTGTGTCATCTACAGCCTTTCCAACAGTGTTTTCCGGCTAGGCCTCCGGAGGCTGTCCGAGACGATGTGCACGTCCTGCATGTGTCTGAAGGAGCAGGACACACGGGACCCCAAGCCCAGGAAACGGGCTAATTCCTGCTCCATTTGAAGAGAACTGCACAGTAAATCAAGTGTAACCTGACAGTGGTTTTGGATCGCAGTCTTGATTCACCTGGAAACTTGCCACGGGAGAAGAGCAATATTTACTTGAATAGTTGACTGAGAGATAAAGGGACCGAGGGTTTCTTTTTTCCTCTTTTTTTTATGGAGGAAAAAACTACAGAAAAGGATGTATAGGGAGTAATCTCATGAGACAGTTACAGCATGTGAGTATGAACGTGCAGTAACAGGAGAAGGGAAGCGCTGGGGACGGCCAGAGTGTCTCAGATCTTCCACAGGACGCGCCGCAGCCCCTGGTGTCTCTGTCTGACCGAGCTCTCGCCTCCGTCTTTGTCTCTCGTTCTGTCTCTGTCTCTCTCGCTCCCACTGTGTTCGTGGAAATCACAGCATTTGCTCTCGAGAGAAAAATGCTACATATTATATATGTGGCAAAGTATAATCTTTGGCATCAAAGTGTGCTTTAACACACTGATCTGAAATTCCTAAGTGGTCTCTCACGGAGGATGCACAGTAAGCGTCGTATGTTAGTACCTGCCACACAGCCCCTTTGCTGGTGTTTTTATAATCTCTGCAGCACAAAATTTCAGCCCCGAGCAAAAAGAAACAGTGTTTTTATTTCACCAGGGTAGAATTATGTCCCCCACCCCGCCTTCCTGACAGCCTGCTGTATTTTTCTTCATCTGCATCTTTTGGTACCTTAATCCAGAAGTGTCTTAGATAATGAAAGAATCTACTGTATAAAGCAATCATAATGTCAAATAATTTATTCCTTTTAACAAAGCAATCAGTAGCCTGTTTGCAGTACTGTGTTGAGTATTTTTAATGGCTTTTGTAATAATTTTTTTCTGGTTCATTTTAAGTTATTTCATGTACCCAAAGTGGTATCCTTTTTGCTATAGTAAAGCTTTGTTTTCCTCTAAGACGATCCACAGATAATTCTGATGCAGATGCAGGGCACTCACCCAGAAGTGAGGCGTCTGTCTCAAAGCTATTTGGTGTGTCTTTTTTTTTAAAGAGTAAACTATTGACCTTTTTGTGTTATGTCTACAAAACTAACTGTTCTGTCCACTAATCATTTGTGTGATATATGTTTCTACACACTATATTTTTTACAACAAAGATAATGTAAATTATATTATGTAATCTGTGCCTAAAGTTTTCTTAGCACAATATATAGATCAATGTTGCTTAAGTCACCAACATTGGAAAAAATATACAAAAACTTCTTTTAAGAGAAAAATACTTTTGTGTAGCTGTTATTTATTTATATTAGCCAAGCTGCATTCTTAGGGCTGCTGAGAATATAATATACTTAATTATGAAATACAGGTAAGAGCTTTCAGTATTTTCTTTTGTAATGACCTGTTTTCATATTCAGAGGTTAAATTAGCTTATTTTTTAGTGTGCTACATAGAATTGTCTCATAATCGTCAGGGGTTTAGATGTAGCAAAAGGCATTTGGGAATTAGTACTGAAGCAGGTGTGAGTGGTTAAACATCTAAATCTTACTTTTTTACCATAATTTTCCTGCCTGACAGAGATTTTAAAATTTATATCAGACTACTGAGTATTTTTCTTCTCAGCGTTTTTGGTTTGTTTGTTTTATGAGATGCACTGGTGAACTGTGCCTACGGAAGCCGGCCGCGCTGCACACGGCAGCGTGACTTCAGGGGTCCGTTAGTGGAGACGTCGTCATTTTGTTAAGGTTGTTCTGAACCCCTGTATATTTTTAAACATGTAAGAAAGGTTTAAAATAAATAAAATAGTATTCTACATATCAAAACCAGACTTTGCTTCAGTTTAATAAAATACTTAACTGGCAACAAGAGTTTGCTTGCTTGGGATCGAAATTAAACTGTTTCACATTTCTGTGGTTTGGGTTGGTTACATTAGTTCTTGTCCTCTGTTTGCCCGTGGCATCTTGGGAAAGTTGAAATGTGCCTTTTCAGTTTAGACCAGTTCAAGGAAAACAAAGTTTAAGGAAACATAACAGTATAACTTTTCAGTCGTCATAAATAGGACCTTCAGCGTGTATCATGTGAGAGTCAGATTTTTGAATCCATTACTCTGGAGTGTGCACGTGCAGTTAGAAAGGACTCAGTAGATCCCTGAACAGGAAGCCTGAGGCCACATTTATTGTATTTTCCGCTTCTGGCTTTTCCTCATAATAATCAATAACAATTAAGTTCTACATGTAACATTTAGTGCTATGACACTTTGAGATAGCTACTGTTATTCCCACTGCAGAGATGAGGAAACTAAAGAAAAGTGACTTACCCAGGGTCACTCAGTGAGGTCAGTGGCAAAGTTTCAGTCGCCCTGAGCCCGTGTCCTCCTGCTGCTTTTCTCCCCAAAGCCTTCCAACCTTTGTCCCTTTGTCTACCTTCTCCCTACAGAATTTCTCTTTGATTTCCTTTTTCTCACCTAAATCTTTTGCTTCACTTCTTTTTTTTTTCCTGGTGAAATCTTTCCCCTCGATCTCCCGAAGCTCTTTCATGAAAACAGCAACCTTCGTAAGTGCAAATGTGCCCAGTCAGTGTGTAATCAGACCGAAACCTGGGGCACGGCGTTCCCTTGGCATGACCTTTGTTCGTTTTTGTTGTTTTCCTTGAATAGCTCTTTAAAATCTCTGTAGGTTTTTCACCGAAGGAAGGGTTTTTGAAGGAGAGTGGAGAAGGCAGGCTTGATTGTGGACCGAGAGGGGAGCCTCTGCACGCAGGCCCCGGGGTGAGGTCCCCGTTCCCTGCAGAGTTTCCTGTGCGGCTCCAGTGTGGACCATCCCACTGCCTTTGGACAAACTTTAGTACGCGTTTCTGTAGTAAGGTAATGCTTGCTCTGAAACGACTCTGTCTGTTTTTAGATGAACGCGTTTCAAGAAAGCATAGCCAGTGTTCTCATCATCACATTGTGTTTGGTGGTAATCACCCAGTTTGGTTACAAGTGGCGGCCCAACAGCAGTGCTCCAGGCTGTCACCACGGCTCCTTCATCTGTGGAGCCGTTCCCGAAGTTACACAAGGTTGCAAGGCTTCGTAGCCTGCCGGCGCGGGAGCCCTGGGTGGAAACCGCAGCCCCCCTGAGCCGTTGGCTTCCGGTGAAACACCGAACGTTCCGGGTCCCCAGTCTTCTCAGGAGTGGAGCCCCGCGGCTCGCGCCCTCCCGCCGGGCCGGGCCAGAGGACTGAACGCGACGCTGGCGTCTGTGTGCTCAGCCCCGCGGCGGCACAGGGAGGGTTCCGAGTGCGGTAGCTGCTGTTGTAGCTTCTCCCTGGCTTCCGTGTTTACGGCCATCGCAACTGGAATATCGCTAATGCTAGTGTAAGGGAAGTGGAGTGTGTTATAACAAAGTTAATCCACTGAGTATTAGAGTTTTCTAAAATAGCATTTTCCCCCAAATCTGTTTAAACTCAGATTTTTGGCTTAAACTCAGATGTTTTAACTACAGAAAACTTCCACGATTTCTGAAAACTCATTTCCCAGGAATAATTATTCAGAAAGACTTCATTTAACCTTAAAGATATCCAGCAAGTGGATGTTGGGATGAAAGAGGCATGATTCTGAAATTAACCTACTTTCTTACCTTTTTTTTGTATTAAATGTGCTTAAATTAAACGTTTGTCTTTTGTCAGGTTGATGATAGTAGGAAAGGATTGTTCAGGAACGCTTTGCCGTTTATCTTCGCATTTTAGTTTTCCTCGCTTCCTAGAATGGCATTTAAGGTGTTTTATAAGTACAAGTTACCCAGAAGAAATAAGGTTGAATAAGCCGATTCATGCCACATATATCATTTATTATGTGAATGTAGACATAAATGAAGTTGTTGCGTTAAAGGACCTGCCTCTGTCTCTCCCCACCCTGAGGACTAACCATTAGATGTGGAGAAGGTACCAGGATGTGATAAACGGGTGAAGGAGAGCAAGATGTGGAGAAGTTGCTAGTGTAACACGCTGAGCGGAGCGCCCCTGGTGTTCAGGCTGGAGCTGTGCAGGGCACAGGGGCTTATGTTACTGTGGATGCTCCATTCGGACGCGTAGGTGCCAACAGCGGCCCTTTTCTCTGGGCAGAACTCTTTCAGATGAAGAAGGTAATGAGCAGGAAGTGGCATACCCTACAGCCTAGTGCCTAGACATCGGGGAAAACAAAATGACCAGGAAAGAAAAAATATTTTCCTTTTCAGTGTTCTTTGGAAAGAAAGCTTTACCCAGTGATTGTTTTGCTCTATAGTTTAAAATAGTCATACCTTTTTTAAATAGGAAAAAGTGATTGTCTTTTAGAAGTGATGCAATTAGGTATTTATTAATATTCTGTTTTAAAATTTATTTATTTTATTATTTTTAAATCCATTTCTGTAGACATTGGGGTAGTTTTATGATATGGAAAACTACAGTGTGTTATTTTTTTTAATTGATTTGAGAGAGAGAGAGAGAGAGAGGGAGAGAGAAAGATCGATTTTTTTGTTGTTCCTCTTATTTATGCATTCATTGACTTATTCCTGTATGTGCCCTGACCAGGAATTGAACCCTCAACATTGGTGTATGAGGATGATGCTCTAATCAACTGAGCTACCTGGACATCAGAACTCTTATTTTTTTATAATTAGCAAGAGAAAATTGTTTTGTTAAAAAGGATGCTATTTTTAAAATATTTTGACATTTCACAAAACAGTATCTGTTGATTCTGTAAATAATGTATCCAACTTTGTCTTAACACTATTTTGCTTTGAAGATACTTTATATTATTTTCTGACTTTTATAGTATTTGTTATTTTAGGTGAATTTGCAGAGAAATTTGATGACCTACTTAGGATATTAGATGTTCTTGACTTATTTTTTGCTTGAACACAATTGGTGTGAAGTATTATTTGCTGCATCTGGAATGGGTCTCAGTCACTGAGGGTTTTTACTGCACCATTGGCGGCACCTTCTAGCACCTGTGTCCGCGTTTAACAGGAGAGTGACCCTGTACTGAGGCACCGGGGTCTGGCTGGTGCGGTAACTGCATTGCATAGGTTGTGACAAGATTCTGTTTCCAGCCTTCCGTCTCAGGAGATCGTATCTATAACTTTTGATGGTCATTTTATTCTACCTTTGTATACGATTCCCCATGAAGGTGAGGAGACTGACAGTAGCAAATTCAGCAGGATTGGGGTGTGTCTGGGAGATACTAGACATGAAAGACATGCCTAATACCTTCACCACAGTAAATGGGACCAGATTAGTTTTTGAGATTCTAAAATTTGTAGATGATAAATATCAAGAAACATCGTGCAAGATGCTAGAATTTGTTGAATGGAAATATTTGCTGAAATTCTAAAACTTTCCCATCTGCTACTTTATACAAGAGAAATCACTTTTATCTTTGATTTTAGAAATCTGACTCCAATTTTATTTTATATTTCCTAGTTAAGTAAGTCTAAATAAGGTTGATGTCAGTTAAAAGTGTCCAAATATTCCTTGTAAATTCAGAGTTGTGGCATTATTTTAGTTAAGAGGCCTACAAAAAAAATCAAGCACGAAATTATATAACCTGTTCTTTACAGTTTGAAGTGTGTCTTTGAATGCAGTGCAGATTGTAGCGAGAGCCGGCTGTGCCGTTGTCCGGGATTAGGCCCGGCGCAAACCGGCGTCCGTGGGTGTACTCTGTGTGAAGTGCAGTTTTAAACGCTCATGCTGCTGACAGAGTTTGAAGTGTGAAATAGGTATTATTAGATCACACATTGTATACTGATAGCCTCTTCACAGTATTCATTTAGTTTTCAGGAGTTTTGTAATAAAATGCTAAGTTGGTAAAATTGATATTATAAATGGTAGATGTAGAGAAGATTAAAAGATAATTTGTGAAGAAGCCAATAAAAACATCCTGAAAATCCTGGTTTTAAAGTTTTCACAAGTTAAATTATATTTGGAATTGTCAAGGAAAAGTTGATTCAAAATTAGGTTTTCAGAATTGCTTGAAGTTATCAATTACAAAATATAGTGTAGTTCCTTGTTTGCAAGAAAACAACTACTATCTAATGTATATCTAGGTTTTTGTGAAATGTTCTTCTTGTCATAGGTTAGATTTTAAAATGTAATTTGTATTGAAATTAAATATTACAAATATATATACATTTGAATTGCTGCTGTCTTCAAATAGATTTTGAGGAAAAATTTGACATCCCAAAGGTTAATTTTATCTCCCTACTTTCATTGCCCCATGGCCATTTTTAAAAAGAACTTATTTATGTGTGCAAGATCTTAAAATTCTACTGGATTTCTAGGTATATTTTTTAGAAATGTATGTGGAGACGTGCAATTTGAAGGCTCACTTTTGGAGAGTGGTGTTCCTAACTGGCTCTGGTGACGGCTTCTGGTATTTTGATCATTAACTCCACGTAGCAGCCCCGCTTTCTCTGTTCCTAAACGCAACTTAACATTTGTGATTGAACAGGCTATTAAGATTCATTAGAGGACTGTGTCTTGGTTGCTTTCGGTAGACTTTGAAGTCCAGGGCATCCAGGGGTAGCGTGGGGACAAATAAAGGGGTGTGTGTGTGCGTGTGTGCCTCTGTTTAATGCTTTCACCACATTATGAACTTGGGGGAAATCCAGTTTGCAGTCGTTAGGGTGTTTAGTTATTTTTGCCATAAAGATAAGCATTTTTTATAGAAAAGGTGAAGATTTGAAGTAGCGTTCTTGTGTGTGATTAACCATGACACCCCAGTTTTGGAATGTTAACTCGGGATGTATTCGAATGATTCGGAGGAAAACAGACACCAACACCTGCCCTCTGTCCAGTGTGGGGGTGAGAAGGTGTTAGAAAACACTGTGAGTTAAAACTTGGGAAAG